TAATATCCTATTGTTTTATAAACTGGGCCCAGTGTGTGACCCTGACCTCGGGAACCCACTGGTTGTTATGGTTGCTACTGGTTTGTAAATGTTAATTGTTGTTGCTGTAATTTGTGTTACTGTAATTGAGGCATTCTCTGACACAAGAATATCCTTCGGGATAAATGAAATTATATTGTTTGGAATTGAATGGAATTGAATATTATTTATGATTTAAGGCACTTTATAGGTTTTATATTCAGGGGCTGTATTCAGAAACATTCTGAGAACACTCTTAGAAGGCTCCTAACTTAGCCTGAAATGTTTTAATAAGGAGTCTTAGCTTAGGAGTGATTTATGAAATTTCTCAGAGCAACTGTGAGCAAGGAAGGAACAGAAACATTTACCTCAGTGAGGAGGTGTGGTCGACCCCATTGCTAAGTATGACACATTCTTTTAACAGATGTGATTGGTTGTCACAGACATGCCCCTTCGTGAGCCTGCAAGGTGTGGACACCCAGTGGAAATGAAATTAACTGCTGACTGTGAAAGTGTTGTCATTGTGTAGTATGATCACTAAAATGTGTCACACCTAGCAACGGGGTCAACCACACCTCCTCATTAAGGTAAAAGTTTCTGTCCCTTCCTTGCTCAGAGAGAACTTTCCTAAATCACTCCTAAGATAGGACTCTTACTAAAAAAATTCAGGCTAAGTTAGGAGCTCTCTGAGAGTGCTCTCAGAATGTTTGTGAATGTGGAGAATATTTATCCGACCTCTTTGTCTTTCTGCCATTTTCTCCTCTGATTAAGAAACTCTTAAGCCTTTTAAAACTCCTCCTCTCTACTCCTAATGGCCCTGACACACCAAGCCGACGGTCGGCTGTCGACCAAAGTCGGACCGTCGGTGAGTGTCTGTCGCCCTAGTTTTCATCGGCACTTTGGCATCGGCGGCTTTTCGGCCATTTGAGCATGTTGAATCTGCGGCGGAGCTTGTCGGTGAGAGAGATCACTCTGATTGGCTGTTCAGGTTTTATTTCCTTGCCCCTGTAGCGAGTGAATCTGCCTGTAGTTTAGTTTAGTTTAGTTTAGTTTACTGGTTTAGTTGACAGGGACCATGTACAGAACAGGTTCTATGCCAGAGTTAGCTGAATAGCTAATTTGCATCTGTGGTCCCTGGGCAGGGAAACCAGGGCTAACCGGTGCTTCCTCCTCAGGCTCCACTTCACTCAGCTGCCCCACAGACCCGCTGCTTCTTCCCACTTTAATCTGAATAACAAACCTGAGCTAGCTGGGAGCAGCTAGCGGAGTGTTAGCTGCAGCATGACCGGAGGGAAGCACAGCCAGTTAGCCTCCGCTAGTCTCTGAGCTAGCCCCGGCTCTCCGTTTGGATCCAACCGGAGCACCGAGCCCTGGTTTGTTATTCAGGTTAAAGTGGGAAGAAGCAGCGGGTTTATCGGGCAGCTGAGTGAAGTGGAGCCTGCGGAGGAAACACCGGGACCGTCTGGATGTAATAGTCCATGGAGGTGCTGCGGTGCTCGGCAGCACAGATAGGAAACCCCTAGGCTGACAGGATGTACCACTCTCTCACTCCGCTCTCTCTCACGCAGGCGCAGAACGTACGTGCTACTTGGCCGTCGGATGTAGTCCGTGTAGTGTGTTCAAATGCAACTGACACAGGGCGATGTGAGGCGACGTAGACGACACAACAGTTGGCTTTCGTCGCCGCTAGTTCTTTGATGTTGGTTTGGTGTGTCCACACCTTAACAGTTTTTCACTTTAGGAGCTTTCTTAAGGACTGAGATGCTCTGTGAATGACTTTTATCTTTACCAGGACCTATAGTTTTAACTTCAAGTGGAAATTCATAGTAAACGTCACAATTCTAAGAATTGAAGAGCCTGTCAGTGGCAAAAACAAGTACTTTCAATGGACACAAATTGACAGCCACACCTGCCCTGAGTGGTTATGTTGTAGTCTGATTTGCAGATGCCAGCTGCAGCACTCTTTCTCAATACTGGACCAATTTAAAAAAATGTTGCTCACATTTTTCACTTGAACACATAAACATGAAAAATAGGGTTCACGTTGAAAAATCCCAAAACTCCAATGTTTTTTTCTTGTACTTTCATGATTTATGATTTGGCTACTAAAACAGTGCACTATATTTATACCAACATCTGATACTACGCAATATATTTTGAATGTACTTTAAATACTTTGTTTTATTAAATACTTGCTGAGGCCCTTAACAAAAAGCTAATATGATTTAGATACTCTTGGCAAACTATGCCTGGTAACGTGGTAACTGACTGATGGTAATTACGTAATGGTATTTCCTGAAACCCAACAGGTACAGCTACTACAACTCTCCACCCATCCACCCATCCATTCACCTCGCACAAAATGGCATTCGGTAAGTCAAGTAGGACTTCATATCATAAATACTTTCTGTTCCATGAAGTCACATGATAAAGAAGAATGAAGGCAGTGGGCCAAACCCTTAATAACACAGCTGCAGGCTCAGAGAATGGAAAGTTAAAAACCTTATAAGTTACTAAGTATAGAATTTTAATGTGATTATAGTATCTTTGAAGTTATTCTGATGGCATTAGTTTCTGCTCAGAGAACAATGAGTCCATTCATCGCAGTGTCCCAGGGTCGAATCTGTGGGTGGGAAGGGAGTAGAAGCAACAGATTGTCACTCAGACCTCATCACATTTGACGTTTGGCCATGGACAAAACAACAACAAAACATCATGTAGGTGTTTCCAGCAGGGAAAGTGTCACCAAATCCAGATATTTTAAGCCAAACACAATCTTTTCTGATCTATAACCAAGCAGTTTTTGTGCCTACATAAAACCACACAGTAACCACATCATTGTTGAAATGTTAAATTTTGCCAATGGCCATTTAGTTTGCACTAGTGAGTTTAGCAGGAGCCTTCTAAATTATGCCTTTAGCACTGATAAAACCCACTAATGCCTATTTAATATAGCAAATATTTGAAAAGCGTTGGGTTTAAATGTTCAAAAACTGAACTGAACACAAAACTGGGTTTAAAGGAGTATTTAACTAAGCAATAAGTGAATATGGTCAACTAAATTTATTGGCTAAACAGAGCATTTCCAAAGCTGAAAATGCTGCCCAAATTTTCAGAAAGCACGGCACAGATAGAATCCTAAGGTTTGAAATTTGAAAATTTTAGGTTTACCTGACCAAAAATTACAGCCTTACATTTTCCCACAGACTGGCTAAAGCGGTCATCTCGGAACGTAACTGGAACTCAAACTGGATGCTTGTGTTCATGTTTACCACAACAACAAACAAGGACGAAAGATGTATGTTTAATATTGACCCTGACTTGAATGGATCTTTGTAATGTGGAATGGGTAACATGTAGTGCTGCAATTATTTTCATCAATTCTGCAGCTCTACAGGCCAAAGCAGCAGCAGGCAGCTGTTTTCAGTAGACAAGCTTTTATAAACTCTCTGTACACTTGCTTTCCAACAGTGGTAAAAAAAAGTGGCAAATTGATGAGGAAAGCTAATAGTCCAGAGGCAAGACTTCCGTACTGCCAGAGGAAATACCATAGTTTTACTTTTATGCCTCTGCGACGCAGATAGATGCAGCTGTACAGTAGGCATTATGTTTTCGGGTTGTCTGTCCGTTCATCCCATTCTCGTGAACATGATGTCTCAAGAATGCCTTGAGGGATTTTTTTTTGCAAATTTGGCACAAATGTCTACTTAGACTCAATGATGAAATGATTAGATTTTTGCTATAGGTCAACGGTCAAGGTCACTATGACCCCGTCTGTCCTATTCTCGTGAACCCTGTATCTTAAGAATGACTGTAACTTATTTCTTCACTTCGGTACAAACATCCACTTGGACTCAACCATGAAATAATTAATGGTCAAAAATCAAGGTCACTGTGACCTTGCGTCCATTTAGTTCTCGACAAACACTATATCTCAAGAACACCTTAGGGGAATTTCTTCAAATTTGCCACTAATGTCAACTTGGACCAAATAATGAACTTATCAGAGTTTGGTGTTCATAGATCAAAGTTCAAGGTCACTGTGACCTTACAAAACATGTTTTTGATGATAACTCAATAATTCTTAAGCTAATTATGACAACATATCATCAACATCAAAACAGTCAAATAGAATAAATCGATGAAGTGATGACATTTCATATCCAAAGGGCAAAGGTCAACTTCATTGTGACATAACAATGTTGTGCATAAACACTCTTCTAGCCATTATTCAATGTCATAACTCAGGAACAGAAGAGGTCAAATACTGAGTTGGTGACACTAATCTTGATTGCCCACTTTGAAGCTGTGCTGACTGTATAGATCTGTGCTGCTGGGGGAAGATGTGTATGAAGCATCCATGTTTCCACAGACATGGATGTAAACTATAACTGCAACTTGACTGGTGATTAGAGACACCAAACCTAGAAGCAGTAATTCTAGTTTCCTTGTATGTCATGTATGACAAGATATAACATAAACACTGTAAGAGTTGAGCATTTGTAGGATTGATTCTGTCCCTTTCTTATCCATACAGGCAGTTGATCACTGTTTCTGTGATAGTTATAAGCAGTTTCCATTGTAGTATTTTATGCGTGATGAGAAGAAAACTGACTCCAAACTCCTTTAGGGATGTATGACTGACATTAATGAAGAGAAGACAATGAAAAGTACCTCATGGAATTACATACATTTTAAATGCTTTTGTTCTTATTGTTTTACAGCATCTGAACTTCGGATTGCAATGTTTGGCAAAAGTCACCATGAAAAGACAAGACTGAGTGACTTCCTCACTGGAAAAACAGATTCTTCTCATCCAAAAATGACCAAGCAATTTGCACATATCCAAAGAGAGTGGAGGAAGAAACCCTTCACAGTAATAAAATCAGCAGACATCTTCAGTCTGCCTTTGGAGAGAGCGAGACATGAGATGAAGAAGTGCACAGTTCAGTACCCCCCTGGACCAAATGTTCTGCTGCTGTTAGTGAACCCTTCAGATTTTACTGAGGAGGACAGACAAAAATTTAACTTCATCATGAACTTCTTCGAACAAGATGCTTTTGAACACTCAGTGGTTGTCCTAACACAAAATGATAGAGGAGGGAATTACTCAGTGAACCAACTTACCCAAGACTGCAGACAAAGACAGCACACAATGAACTTCAGTGAAAGAGCTTTTCTTGACTCTGATCGTCAAGAATTGATGATAAAAATGGAGAAAGTAGTGGATGAAAACAGGGGGCGATATTTAACCTTCAATGATCCCATGGTAGCACCTGCATGTGCAAAACCCCCTCTAAACCTGGTGTTGTGTGGAAGAGATAGAGCCTGGAAGACTGCAACATCTAATGCAATTCTGGGGGCAAGAAAGCTTGGCCCATCAGCTGACTCATCAGAGTGTGTAAAAAATGAGGCAGAGGTGTGTGGACGTCGGGTTTCTGTGGTGCAGCTGCCTGCTTTGTATGGAAAACCTCAGGAGGCAGCAAAGACGGAATCACTGAAGTGCATCTCCTTCTGTGATCCAGAGGGCGTCCATGCCTTCATCCTGGTCCTACCTTTAGGTGCCCCAAGTGAGGAAGACAAGAAAGAGTTAGAGACCCTCCGAAAAACTTTCAGCTTCAGGGTCTGTGATTTCACCATGATTCTTTTTACCGTGGAGGCAAATCATGACTCTCTAGCAGTTGAGAGGTTTCTCCAGGAAAACAGAGACATCCAACAGCTTCTTCAGAACTGTGGTGGTCAATGTATTGTCTACAACATCAATGACAAGGAGCAGGTCTCTAAGGTGTTACATACTGTGGAAAAGATGGGAGTTGTGGGATGCAGAAGCTTCACAAAGGATATGTTTCCCAAGCAGCTTGCAAGACATTCAACCAATGTTGAAGATTTTAAGTGTCACAGTGAAAAGTTTCAGAGGTCACGGCCTGATAGAGCATCTCTCAGGATGGCCCCGAGTACAAAGCCTCCCAGAACGGTGCTCAGAGAAGAGTTTCCCTGGAAGGGGCCTAGTAGAGAGTCTCCGAGGATGGTGCCAAGTAGAGAGTCTCCCAGGATGGTACCAGGTAGAGAGTCTCCCAGGATGGTGCCAAGTAGAGAGTCTCCCAGGATGGACCTGAGAACAAAGCCTCCCAGTATTACCCCGAGGATGTCTCCCAGGGTGGCACCAATTGGAGAGTCTTTCAGGATGATGACAAGGAGAGACTGTCTCAGGATGGTGCTGGTTGGGAAGACTGGTTGTGGAAAGAGTGCAACTGGAAACACCATTTTGGGCAAAGACTGCTTTAATTCTAAAGCCAGTCAAATGTCAGTGACCAAGATTTGCCAGAAAATAACAGGAGAGATTGATGGGAGGCCTGTTGCTGTGGTCGACACCCCTGGCTTGTTTGACACAACTCTGTCCAATGATGAAGTTCAGGATGAGGTTAGGAAATGCATCAGACTGTTAGCTCCAGGACCTCATGTTTTCTTACTGGTGCTGTCGATCGGCCGCTTTACACAGGAAGAAAAAGATACTGTGGAACTGATCAAGGAGTTTTTTGGTAAGAAATCAGAAGACTTCATCATTGTTCTATTCACCAGAGGAGATGAACTTCAAAATCAAACAATTGAGAGTTACATAGAAGAGGACACTGGAAAGGCCTTAAAAAAACTGATAACTGAATGTGGAGGACGATACCATGTCTTCAACAACAACAATCGGGAGAATCGTTCTCAGGTCAGCCAGTTGCTGACCAAGGTTGAGTCAATGGTAAGGGAGAATGACGGTGGCTTCTACACCTCAGATGTCTTCCAAGGAGCTGAGGCAGCCATACAACAGGAAATAGAAAAAATCATGAGGTCAAAGGAAGAAGAGATACAGAGGAAACAGAGGGACCTTGAAAGAAAATATCAAGAAGCAATTGCAGATCTTAGATCTAAACTGGATCAAGAAAAAATAGAGAAGGCCAAACTGGTAAAAGAAAAGAAGGAGCACATAAAGAATCAAGAAGAAGAGAAGAGAAGGAGAGAAAGAGAAAAGAGAGAAGAGGAGGAGAGGAACAAGAAGAGGGAGGAGGAATATCAACTACGCGAGTGGAAACGAGAACTTGAAACTCTGGAGGCAAAACTAGCGTATGCATCAGAAAAACAGGAAATGGCTGGCATGGTGTATTTAATACGAGACAGAGATGACATGAGACAAGGAAAAGAGGCTTGGGAGCAGGAGAGATGGGAATGGTGGGACGAACGCCGTCGAGAGGAACAAAGGAGACGAGAAGAGGAGCGAATTGAAAAGCTCAGACATGAATTTGAGGACATGGAAATATATGAAAACGCAGACGACATAATAAGAAGAGAACATGAGAGCAAGGAAATTCAAGTATTACAAGAACGCTACAAGAGGAGAATGGAGGAAATACGAAGGGAAACTGAAGAGGAGGCCAGGAATCTTGCTGAAGAATGCAATGAATTCAGACTGAGATACGACAGTGATGTTTCAGCTGAGAAGGAAAAGTACAGACGGGAAATGGAGGATCTGAAGAAGAGCCATGAAAACAAAATTGACGATATGATAAAATGCCTAAGCCATAACAGAGCATTCAAGAAAAACTTTGATAAACTGAAGAAAAAGCAAGAACGAGAAATGAATGATCTGAAATACAATCTTTCTTCCTACAACAAAGAGTATCAGCAAAAAGAAATCGATGCGCTCGAGAAAGAACATGAGGAGGAAAGAAATGACTGGATTCAGGCATATGTGATTAAAGCCGTACAAGGCAAGGTCTGCAGCATTTTGTGAGGCGTTTGTTCTTATTCCAAACAGCAGCATAGTTTCCACTGCAAAATGGTGGGCTTATGTTTGACGACTCAGACATTAACCTGGTGTATATAGATATCAAGGAAAGCATTTCTTTATTTAACCAATGTCTGACATGAAAATAACAATATGATACATAAAGTTGTACAGTTGCATATGTTAAGTTACACTGATTATTATAGCAGATCAAGTTTGACTCTTTGCATGTTCATGAGCTTTAAAGTTTAGTGCATCTGTGTAACAGATATGTTAGTGGACAAGTCTTATCAACTGCAGCCTATACTGTTATAAAGATTACTACTTTTGTACAAGTCAAGTAAACAACATTAACATAATAATTGCAACCATAAAATGTAACCAAAATCCATGCTCATGCTGTAAATATCTATTTTTATTCTTTTGTTTAGTTGTGTTCATACTGCTGATGGTAATAATGTATTTGTCACCACATTTTTTGAAGTTAAGATGCATTGTCATTTAGAATCTTTCTCCTCTGCCAACACATTCTCACTCCAACCTTGTCACATATCGACGCATGGACTTTCCACATCGAGATATTACATGCAAGGTACCCTGGGTGCGCTGGTTATTGATGTTCTGTGACACTGTGTCAACCTCAGCCTGTTACGTACATTGTTTTCAAATTACACTTCAGTTTTGACAGGAAATGTACAGTTTGCATACAGTCTCTTTTAAAATAAAAGCACAACGCACTATAATACAACACGGCAAATTGACCTATTTTTCCTTCAACAACAAACACACGTGGTTACGATTAGCCAACACATGCAATGTAGTTGGGTTTAGGAAAAAAGAACAGGGTTTGGCTTTACAATCTTATGGGAAGCAAACACTGGCCTCTCGGGTAAAAGTTGGTGGTTGCTGGACCCTTCTACCACCCCTACTACCAGCCATCCTCCGACTTTGACCCCCTTAACTTACATGGTTGTCCCATCACGTTTCCCCCTGACGCTGCCGGGTGCTGGTACACAATAAGGGCGACTGGCTGTGTAGTATGTCAATGTGAAAAGACAGCTTTTGTCATCAGTAATTGACAACTTCTGAGTGAGACTGGGTTGGCAGTATATAATATCTTTAACCTAAGTTACACTGCTTATAACAGCAGATCAAGTTTGGCTCTTTGCATGTTCATGAGCTTTAAAGTTTAGTGCATCTGTGTAACAGACAAGTCAAGTGAACAATATAAACATAATAATGGCAGCCACAAAATGTAACTAAAAATCCTCACTCACACTGTAAATATCTATTTTTATTCTTTTGCTTAGTTGTGTTTATAATCCTGAAGGTAATATTGTATTTGTACAATTTTAAAAATGTATTAAGGTGAGTGACCTGAATCGTCACACGTTTTTTCCTTGTGGAGCTGATGTATGATAATCTGTGAGCTTGTTCTACCGTGACAATGTTGTAAGGCTACGATCCACTGGCCTTGAAAAAAATGGGCTCCAATATGTTGTTCTCAATTTTGCCAAACAAAACATGTAAAATAATTTTCAGATTTGCTGATTGATGATTTAAACCATGTTTAGCATGTATTTCTAATAACATATACAGAGGGAAATGATGGTGGTATAAAATAATGTAGCGAACTCTGCAGCTCACATATCAGTGTGGAAGAACTGGCTTTCACTTGCTGCAGTTAGTTGTTAATGTCTCCGCTGCCACTGTTGACGTTTAAACTGTGGCATGTGACAGATATCATCATAATGGTTCAGTCTCTATGTGTGGGCTGAACAATGAACATCCTGCCGTGGACGAGTGAACCTGTTTACCTTGTTTACAGTCAATGTTCAAGACCTTTTGTCATGTAATTGTGGTTTCTACTCTATATTGTACTTTCACATTAAAGATCAGTGCGTATCAACAGATATTTGTTTGTTTGTTTTAAGTGTATGTGTGTTTCTGTGATTGACATGTGGAAAGATGCCATGCGAGATATAATCTCTTGCAACCATCAAAATCAGTGTTATTAAAAACAAGTACTGTAGGGTGGTGGTAGGTTAGTAGCAGGAGTTTAAGTGGATGAAGTGACATTATTAAAACCTCAGTAAAAGACTGCTACATCTGAAACTACCTGTGTCAGCCTTCAGACTTTATTAGATCAAGTGTCTTTGTCATATGCAAAACAGGTCCACTGAAACAGCTCATATAATTATGTTGTATTATCAGAACTTGCTCAAGGGCAAAGTTGCAGCCAACTTCAAGGTTGACACCCATCACCAAACCTGGCTGCTGGTCAACAAAACTCATAACGCTGCTTCTGAGAAGCTGCAGCATTTCTCTTGTGACAAATTGTAGTTAACTTCAGGGTTTACAGCTGACGTGACTCTGCTCAGACAGCTAGCACATCCGCCTACCTTTGAACTTCAAACTACTGTGTTAGATTTGTTGAGGAACTTTCAATGTGTAGGTTTCAGTATGTATAAAAGAAAGAATTCATGGAATGTACCAACCTGAGAGACATTAGAAGAACCCTTCTAAGAAATACACGTACCTCTTACAGGAATGAAACAAGGAAGAGGCTCTGATGATGTACTTGGATGATTCATTTACCGTAACATGTAAACATCTGTTTCCTTGTATTATTTTTGTATGCCAGTGGCTACACCCTGCTGTGGAAGAGTTTCACTTTTGATTTTCCTTGACGGGAAAACCTCTGCTCTCATCCACACCTATTCAAGTTTCAGGGAGATTCCACATCGGCAGACAAAAGGAGACGTTCTGATTCATGCTAATGTCTCTACACAAGTGTTATTTCTCTGGCAGAAAAAAATTAAATCCCAAGTTCTAATCAAGTAATGTTATAATATTACACGTATACCTCTAAAATTTGGTAAAATATAACTTTGTTTAGGACTCCGTTTAGGACTGATTAGATCACTTGGCTGCTATCTCATATGCCCAACCCTGGTTACCCAAGCCACTTATCACTGTGAAAATTCTGGTTCTACTGGGCTGTGTCATTGTTGCCATACCTACGTTTGGCCCTGCCCTGTCAACTCAAAGAGGCTGTCTTGGATGGGTAAACTGCAGTGTGGCGTTGAGACGTTGATGTGCTTCCATGAAGATTTACACAAGAATTTCACCTGGTGAGTAGACAATTAGAAAATACATGCCACAAATAAAAAATGTAGGAAAAAGATACACAATGTATAAATGTATTACAGAAAAATATGTGAATGGACTAATGTGAGCAGTTTCTTGATCATCCTCAGGTGCTTACTGTTTTAAATAAGATGGAGCAGGACCAAAGTTTGAAAGAGCACGAAAGAGCTTCAACAAAAACTACAACAACAAGAAAACTTCAATAACAGAGTGACAGCAACAACCTCAGGTGAGTGCAGCATGTTCAAAAATAAATGACAGCTAGCTGCCAGCAGAGAAAGCCTGATCTTATTTTGAAATGTTTGCCTGATTGCTGAAAATTAAACACAAATATGTTCAGTTCAGCTGCACTTGGGTTAGACTTTAAGCCATCAAAGGCATTCACACTTTAACAACTCTGATTTCAATAAAGTTGTGTAAAGTGTTAATAAAAGCAGAGTGCAACGATCTGTAGATCCTTTTTGACCTTCATTTAATTAAAATAGTACAAAGACTAAATATTTAAAGTTCAAATGGATAAACTTTTTTTTTTTTTCTAAATAAATACTCATTTTTAATTTGACCCTCCAAAAAAGTCTGGACACCTTTTTCTTTTAGCAAACCTCAGTAAGTGCTTTGGTAGCTGAGGTCACTAATTTCTGAAGTCTTGAAAGTGAATTTTTTTCCCATCCTTGCTTGATATACGACTTAAATTTCTCAACAGTCCAGGGTCTCACTTGTCACATTTTGTGCCTCATATTGCGCCACACATTTTCAATAGGAGACAGGTCTGGATTACAGGCAGGCCATTCTAGTAACCACATTTCTTTTTTACTGCGAAGCCGCACTGTAGTTACTTGGCATTGTCTTGCTGGAGTAAGCAGGGACTTTCCTTAAAAGACATCTTCTGGATGGCAGCATATGTTGCTCAAAACCTGTGTGTACCTTTCAGTGTTCATGGTGCCTTCATAAATGTGAAAGTTGATGGACTTGTCAGACTAAGACACACTTTTCCACAGAAAAGCTCTCAGAGAGGTCAGCGCTGTTTCTGGATGTTGTTGATATCTGACAGGATTTGGATTTGAAAATCATAACATATGTCCTAACATCTTTTTAAATCAGGGTTGTTGTTGGTAGAGTATGACTTACCTTCAATGACCATGTATATCTGCTTAATATAAATTTTCTCAGACTACGTTTTCTAAAAAAAAAAAAGTACTTTTTGTGTTGGGTTGCTTTATCTCTATATTTCATTGTTCCAATTTTGTCTTGTTTCATAGAACCCAACAGACAGCCATCAGCTTCTCCATTTGAATTTTTCTCCCAGAAGTTTGCGCCGAAGTGACATAATGGCAGCAGCATCGTCATTTGGTAAGTAGCCAGAAGGAATATGTTATCACTAAAGCCTTGCATTGGTGCCATGTGGCCAGAAACTTTGAACCGTTGTTTAAAATGTTACTGATAACATTGTAACCAGTGATCAGTGGCTGTGTATCTGTCAGGCTGTTTTGATTTTGATGATGTCCTGCACCTCCAAAAGCAAAAGACTGATTAATGTAACATTTTGTTTAATTGTTGTCTTTTTTTTCATTTAAAAAAAAAGACAACCACTCCTACGTACCCAAATAAGAAATTTAAGAGTTAGAAGCATGATGATATGCTCAGCTCGCTCTTACTGTCCAGACAAAAAAGCAAATATTATATAACCTCAAGGACAAAGGGCAGCGATGTACAAATTTTAGGCAAACAGTAAACTAGAATTACTGCCTCACGGTTGTATGCCCCCGCACACCAATCGAGTTGCGTGGTTTACATCCATTTCTGTGAAAACATGGATTCCCCTGGCAGTACAGGAGATCTATAAAATCAGCACAGCT